GAAAGAAAGTTTTGTGTATGGTAAATGGCACAAGAGTTGAGTTGAGTATAGAATAAAAAAGGAATATAGAGATTAATTGCTCATTCATGCCAATATAAGTAGTGTGTTTCAAAATTGTAATGAGTAAAGAAGTCTTCACTCTTAAAGGGTTAGTTCACCCAAAAAATGAAAATTCTGTCATTAATTACTCACCCTCATGTCGTTCCAATCCCGTAGGACTTTCATTCATCTTTGGAACACAAATTAAGATATTTTTCATGAAATCTGTGAGATTTCTGGTCCTCCATTTACAGCTACGCAACTACCACTTTGATGCTTCTTCAAAAGGTTCATAAAGAGATCATAAAACTAATCCATATGAATTCAGCAGTTTGGTCCTAATTTTCTGAAGAGACATGATCACTTTATATGTTGAACAGATTGAATTTAGGCTTTTATTCGCACATTCACAGAATGACAGAATTTTCACAGAAAGGCTATCCCTTTAAAAATAAAGGTTCTTTATGGGCATTGATGGTACCATAAATAATCTTTAATATCCATGGAACCAACAAGGTTCTGTAGAAAAAGGTTCTTTGGATTATTAAAATGTTTTTAACACTAAGAAAAAGAAAGGTTCTTTTAAGAACTGTTCACTTAATGGTTCTTTGTTGCAACAAAAAATGGTTCTTCAATGGCATCACTGCGAAAACCTCCTTTTGGAACCTTTATTTTTTATAAATGTAGCCTGTCAAGCCCCATGTGGAGTGAGATTGCACATTTAAAGATGACAGGCAGAAATATACACTGAGTCAGATGAGGTTTTAATGGAGTTTCCAAAGCTGAACTCTTCTTTTGTTTGTGCTTTGAGAATAAACCACACATGTGAGGAAATTACTCTATCCCTGTGAACCCTGAAGAAGGTGAAACATCTTTTCTTTTTTTAAAGGAGTGTACAACCATTTATAGTAATGCTCTTCTCTATTATGCCAATACAATTATGTTGACTTGGAAAGCTATTATTGTTGTACTGCGAGTGACAATCTGCTGATTGTGGTAAACATGAATTGCTTAATTTACTGAGTAATTACACTTGTTTGGATATATGCCAGAGTCTCAATGTGCTTAACCTGCATCACAGGGTCTGTGACATCATAGATGTTTCCCTCTGCAACCTGTGTATTTACAAATATTCCACTTGGCAACCAACCATCCTTGAATTTAACACATTTAATGAATGTTTGGACAGCAGGATTTTTAATAAAATATTAACCAAATCCTGTTTTAAAATCAGCTAGGGACTGTTTTGTAATTTTAACTCTGTTATATATTAATGCAACATATGATGAGCAAATGGCATATATGACTTGTGCATGCGTCCTCATCATGAAAATATGCAAAAACATCATGAAAGTCCCCGCATCCCCATGCGGCGTAATATCCCAAGCACAAACTGGTCAGTTGACATTTATTGACATGCTGAATTTTTTAAGCAAGTGAATTCTTAACATAAGATCCCCCAATACTTTTACTTTAGTAATATGTTCTTGAAGCAATAATGCAACATGAAATGTCATTGTTTGGAATTAAAATCTACGTTTACAAATTCCCTTTGCAAAACGTTCCAGGAGACAGTTACTTTAGTGTGTGTACAAGGGAATTAAATTAGGCCTCTAATCATATCACTGGTGATAATAATGGCTTCCAACAGGAATGTATTCTTAATTAAGTCCACAGGGAATGAATAGGTTCAGTTCACAGAGAACTTTTCAGCTGCCAACTTCACAACTCTAAAACTGCATTTTACCTGAGGAAAGTCAATAATGAAGTTTTATTAGAGCATATACGGCTTACACAAATGTAATAAAAATGAATAGCTTTTAAATGATTAAGCTCTACTGCAGAACCAAGATCGAATATGAAAATAGCAAATGTATTCCTTTAAGACCTCACAACTAGCCTTGTTTCGCTTAAACCAACAACTCATGTCAAAACTCATTATTAGTGCAATACACATTCCTTATAAGCATGCAGTGAAAAGGGTGCCAAGAGGTACCGAGTGTCTCTCTCATTCAGAAATTGCTATAATATAGTACAGGTCTTCAAAACTGTTATGGCAACTTTCCATAAGGCAAAGCTTCTTCTGGCATTTATTGTAAGTATTTGTGTTTGAGGTCATCATTTTGTCCATTACTAGAAATTCTGAGTGGGCTTGTGTTTGAGCCTTTTTTTTTATTTGGTAAAAACGTTTTTTGTTTGTTTTTTCTCTTCCTTTACATTTTGATATTTTAAACATATGTAACCACACCTGGCAGTTATTGTATTGTTATGCTCCAGTTTTGATAACTGGCACAAAATGTCTTTAAATGTCTAAGACGGTGGATGATTTTGATTTGCCAAATTCAGCACTGAGGTATTTTTTTTAGTTTGGGATGAATGTCATGGAAGGTGGCAGAGTTTCTTGTCCACACATGTCATGATCATCAATTCAATGTATTTGCATGTGGATATCACATTTTAGAAACGAAATAATGTGATCATTTCTGTCAAAATAGTTTGATCATATAATACATTTCTAGTGATATATTTAAGTTTGCCTTGCCTGACACCATTGTGGATATTTTTAAAACATAAGCCTAGAACTGTCTACCAGCAGGTTGTTTCATTCAATAAACATTCCCACATGGCGATGATCTTGTGCTGAACAAGTATCCTTTCATCAATTTGTCTTTAAAGCAATTAGCCTACAAGTACTCAGCAACAGAACAAGCTCGCAGATCAGCAGTCACACATTCCCATGACAGTCTTGTATGATAACTAACGCAAACAGGCAAAAGTACAAAAGACTCTGGCGCCATCCAGTGTATTAAAAAAGACTGTCGACATCCAGTGTATAAGAACATGCCAGAGCCATTTTGCCCTCAAATTATTAATTTGTGCGAAGACTGACTGTCAGATAGCCTACAAGATACAATTTTACAAATATACATGACCGTTCGATGGTGACAAAAATATTCTAAAATCTGATTTAAAAGTATGCATTGAGATTAATTTTTAAAATGTAGCCTAGCCTATACGGATCACTTAGCATAAATACAAATAAATGAATAGGCTAAATAAAAACAAACAAACATGCTAAATGTGATTATTTTGAACAAACATGCTAAATATAGCCTAACGTTACGTGTTTGTTCATAATAATCTCGAGCGCCATTGTGTAGTAGAGATGAGAAATCAAACTCATTTGCTAATCGACTCTTTTGAACATTTTCGCAGAACCAGTTCAAAAAACGGATTCATTTCCTACGTGACGTGATTACGCCATCACGCATAGACACTTCTTCTTCTTCTTCTTCTCTGTCGTTTTACGGCGGTTGGCATCCAACATTAATGTTGCATTACCGCCACCTACTATACTGGAGTGTGGACCGGAGATAAAATAAATACATAAACCATCAAACTAAAAATAACTTTTTATTATTTTCCTCTTTTCTTACGCATAGACACTTACAAAAACTGTTTTCTTTTAATGCTATTATTAATGTAATAGATAATAGTTGAATACATTGTGATCTCTATGTGTATGTTGTTATTGTTCTGTTATGCAATAAAAAAAAATAGATTTAACTACACAATATAACGCAAGCACGCTTAGTAAACAAAACTACAGCTACAGCATGGTCCAAAAGGCAGCAGCTCGAGTTCTTACCAGAACCAGGAAGTATGACCATATCAGCCCGGTTCTGTCAACACTGCATTGGCTCCCTATTAAAAATCGTATACATTTAAAAATATCGCTGATTACTTACAAAGCACTAATGGTTTAGCTCCCCAGTACTTGAGCGTGCTATTAGCGCATTATAGTCCTTCACGTCAATTGCGATCTAGTTGATAATACCTAGAAAATCAAAATCGACTGCTGGCGGTATCTCTTTCCTATTTAGCAATTAGCACCAAAACTTTGGAACAGTCTTCCTAACATTGACCGGGAAGTAACGTCAGACACACTCAGTTCAAATCTAGGCTAAAAACGCATCTCTTTGACCATAACACATTAGACTCAACATAATACAATGTCATCATATTTTCCAGAGACACACAATTAGATAAATTAACCTCAAAACTGTTTTGACTGACTAAATCTCACAAATGTTAAATGAGAACATTGAAAAGTCGCGTAAGTTAGGTCAAAAAGAAAAGGTCGCGCCTAAAGTTAATGACCATGGAAAATGTGGGCCCCATGGCCAAACCAGTTAAGAACCTTCTTTTACTGTCTATGTTGAGAACCACTGTCCAACAAAATCGGGTCACGTCAGTTCCTGAACGCGATGAATGACGGGATACGCTTTAGCCTCAAAGACCCCTCCGAAGCGGTGGGTCATGTAACGTTAGTTTGGGTAGACATTCTCTGGTAGTAGTGTGTGTTGTACTCGGTTGTACTCATAGACTGTAAAAAATAGTGGTTGTACGCTTTACCATTTTAGACCTGGGATAATCTTGCACTAACTTCCTGTTGCGTGCACGCGCTGTCAGTGAACAAGACCACACGTGTCGATGTGTGGGTATTTGGACAGGCCCACTGCTGTTATTACGGTTTTATTTTTATTTTCAAGAATATTGTCACTTCCTGCGTCTGAATTCAGTTGCAACAATGATATATCTCTTAAACATAAGCTAAAGATAATTGTTTTGTCTACAAAAGTTTTTGCACGTTTAAATGTTTATTTAAAACCATTTCTACTAAGTGTGTTGATATAATATGAATACAGTCACGGCGTAAAAAAATATATATATTTTAAGTACTTTTTATTTATAACATTTTTTGCATTTTGTTATTGCCTCATTACAAGTCGTTCGAACAGAAACGGTTCTCAGTTCAATCACTCTTACCGATTCAGTCCAATTCATAAATGAATCATTCAACCGCTCAGACGTGGATTCATTGAAAAGATTCGACTCAAAAGAATCGGATTTCGTTATTGTAGTGGGCGCTGTAATCTGTGTACACAGAGCGTGAATTATTCTGAGCAAGCACAAGAAACAGCAGCGGCGCGTGCAAACATCCCGTTAACATTTAGCAACTTTTAAAATCTGATTTTTAATGTCGTGACTTCTTAGTTTTCATCCGTTTTTGCCTTTTTGCTCTCATTTATCTGGATATGGGATAAATATTTAAAAGCTGTCGACATAACGATATAAAATGGGTTTGACGAGCTCCACCCTTTTAAAAATCCCGAACGTCGAGGAGTTGGTGCAAGAAACGGGCTGTGAGTTAACGTTAGTTGTGTTTTATTACTGGCGTTTGGTTGTTGTCGCGCTTGAACGATTAAACAACGATATAAAATAAAAATTGTAACTGCACATTTGTTGCCATTTATACTAACATTCGCATGTGTTCGCTAAGATAAAAGTATCTCAAAGTTTGGGTATAAATTCGGGTGCATGTGCAAAGACTGTTCTTGATTGACAGTGACAGCTGTTTAGCTCACGAGACTTTACTGACAGTTGCAAACCACTGATAAACAAATACACACTGGGTATTGTGTGTATATGTCGAGCAATTTAGAAATAAAAATGCAACAATGAATGTCAGTGAGGTTTGTTTTAGAGGAGAATTGGGTAATGGTCAATTCAATTTGTATACGGTCCATTGGAATTGATGCACTCGTTTGTTATTTGTTGAGTCATGATGCTACAGGGCTTCAGTGAAACATAATTCATAATATGTGATTTCTCTTTTCCAGTCTCGCCTGCCCACATTATTCGTCTGTATGATCGCTTCAAAGTTCTGGATAAAGAAGGACGAGGTCATCTCTGGTGAGCCTGATGTTTAGACCGATGTCTTATCCATGATGACACAACCTCAGTTAAGATTTCACTTGTAACTAAAAAATATTTGCCCGTTCCTCCTGTCTCGTTCTCACATAGTCCTCAGGATTTTGGAGCCATAAAGGAGCTGGCAACGAACCCCATAAGAGACAGAATAATAAGTGCCTTCTTCTCCCCAGGGTGAGCGAATCTTGGCATAAGCTACAAAGTAATATTTTAGAGGATTGCAAATAATTGATGTTAATATCGAAGTCTTGAATGCTGGAATCTAACATTAAGCACTCTTAACTGTCTGACACAAGGCCCGAACTGTCTATTTAAGTATTTTTTTTCATGCTGACCTATTATTGTGGTAGGCTATAATTTATTTCAGATAATGTATTTCACCCTTAAACAACTTATAAAAACAAAACAAACTGTGATTAGTCAATTTGCCTTTTGTTTAGGCTGTTAAATCTAGTTTGTTATCTGAAAATCAGTTCTGAAAGACGGCATGCATGTGTAAATACATTTCTCATAAAGCTCTTTTTCAGTTCTTAAACAGTGATTGTATCTTGTTGATATAAATAATTATGTCATTCTCAGAAAGGAAACAGTGGACTTTAACACGTTTGTGAAGATCCTGGCGCATTTCCGGCCTGTTGACAAGGACCGACCCAAAGACCCCAATTCTCCTGAACCCATTAATAGCAGGAGCAACAAACTCAGATGTATGTTTGCTTTCGCTTTTTCCTGGTAGATTAACCACATCCTCTCAGTAATGGAACAGATGATGTTACTATAGAGATAATGTACTCAGATGGTCAATAATAGAGAGATACATTGGAAGGGTTTATTTTATGAGAATGACCATCTGACAGTGCAATATCCTGCTTATTACACTGCTGTTCACCAAATTAATTAATAAATCGACGTGAAATATTGATTTGAGTTGAAATGATCTTCTCATTCCTTTCAATCCCACCTGGTTCTTCATTCCTGTAGTTGCGTTTCAGTTGTATGACCAGGACAAGGATGGCAAGATTTCCAAAGATGAGCTTTTAAAGGTCAGTGGTTTCTTCATTCTGCTGTCTTCTCACAAACTGAATATGACTGACAGCAGACTGATTGACAGGTTCTCCGGGACATGCTAGGGATGCAGGTGACAGAGGAGCAGCTGGAGAGCATAGCAGACCGCACTATTCAGGAGACAGATCTAGACCGTGATGACGCAATATCTTTTGAGGAGTTTCGTAAGGTATCGGCTAAAATTCTGCATTCACGGCTTTTGAAAGAGCCAATGGAATATGATTGCTAATACTTGTGTTTCGACCTGTTTATTGTTTTGTATCAGTCTTTGGAGAAAGTCAACATTGATCACAAGATGAGCATCCGCTTCTTGCGCTAGACCAGAGCATCATGGGAAAGCTTCTATACCAACCATGCATGCCTCTACATCCATGTCTCAGAAAATGGAAGGAATATCGCAAGACATTGGACAGTATGATGGGATCAGCCTTTATATGTCTTACAGGGCTTTAATGCACTGGTAATGTCTGCACTAAAACTGCACATTGACAAATGATTTACACTACCGTTCAAAAGTTTGGATGAGTAACGTTATGTGTTTTGCTAGGGACTGTAGGTGGCGCCAAGTGCTTATTGTTTATTCATGTCAGTGATACACCACTGTTCAAAAGTTTGGACTTTGAAAGAAATTAATACTTTTATTTAGCAAGGATACCTTAAATTGACCAGAAGTGACAGTAAAGACATTTATAATGTTACAAAAGATTTCTATTTCAAATAAATGCAATTCCTTTTAAATTTCTATTCACCAAAGAATCCTGAAAAATGATTTGAGCAGCAAATCAGCATATTAGAAAGATTTCAGAAGGATCATGTGACAGACACTGAAGACTGGAGAAATTATGCTGATTTCAGCTTTGCCATCACAGTAATAAAGACATTTTAAAATATATTAAAATTGAAAAAGTTACTTTAAATGGTAATATTTCACGCTCTTATTGTTTTTACTGTATTTTTATTATTATTAAATAAATGCAGCCAGCTTGGTGAGCGTAAGAGACTTATTTAAAAAATATTACAAAAACTTAGTGACCACAAACTTTTGAATGGTAGTGTATATTTGCATTCTGAATCTTAAAAAAATGACTGAATTGATTAGTTCATTTTGTTATGTAATTATAACTTGCAGGTTTCCCTGCAGGGGAAAGAGTTCATAATAACCTTCATAATGCCCAGTGTTAAATTGTCAAACATTACCATATGTGGAAAACAGTTTTCGTGTGTGTGTGTGACATATCCCTAGGTAAGATTTCACAAGTTTGAAGGATTATTAGATGCAAATGCTTTAATCTCAGAGTTTTATAGATTCCTGGTGGCATGAGGATTTTATGCATTTTTAAAAGTTCTGTCACTTTATCCTGAATCGTGATAAAAACTGGATTTGTTTTTCTAGTATTGAAATCTCAAAATATGTCTTAATTCTTTCAATGCTACAAGGATACCTCACCTTACTGCACTTATGTATGCTGTGCCAAAACCAGTAAAAAGGGCTTTTTTCATCTCTGTATTAAATGTAACTAACTTTCTAAGAATGATATTAAAGCAATTTGCTTAATATTCAAAGTATTGTTTGATATATTTTTGGACAGACGCTTTTAAAAATTGGTGAGCTTTTCTTGTGGCACATACACAATTTGTTAAGCAGTGAGCATTTTTTGCAACAAAAATTCATTTTGAAATGTGTTCAATTATTATTATTTTTTTGAATATATCTGAACAACACTAACCTTATATAAAAGTCAAGTTAAAAGTTCAGCCGTGTTTTGCTAGGGACTGTAGGTGGCGCCAAGTGCTTATTGTTGATTCATGTCAGTGATACACCACTGTTCAAATGTTTGGATTTTGAAAGATATTAATACTTTTATTCAGCAAGGACACATTCAGTTGATCAAAACTGACAGTAAAAAGAATCCTGAAAAAATGTATCACAATTTTCACAAACAATATTGGTCACACTTTATATTGGGTATCTTTAACTACTATGTACTTGCATTTAAAAAAAAAAAAGTGCATTGTATCAAATGATAAGTTTAAATGTTAGTACATAGTAGTTAAAGACTCCTAATATAAAGTGGGACCAAAATAGCAGCTCAACTGTTTTCAACATCGATAATAATAATGTTTCTTGAACAGTAAATCAGCATATTAGAATGATTTCTGAAGGATCATGTGACACTGAAGACTGGAGAAATGATGCTGAACGGCTTCTAACAGAAAATAGTTTTTTAATTGTAATAATATTTCACAATATTACTGTTTTTACTGTATTTTTTGATCAAATAAAATGCAGTCTTGGTGAGCATAAAGGACCCCTAAAAAATACATAATTACTTCTTTCAAAAACATTACAAAATCTTACAGACCCCAAACGTTTGACCGGTAGTGCTGTAGTGACCAAACACTATACCCAATGATAGAGACCCATTTGTTGGATTTAATACATTCATCTTTCATATATGTGCTTTATTGTTCAAGGTATTTGAAATGAAATGGATTTGTACAGCATCATGCAGCTTTAAAGTTATTATGCTTTACTCTTGGGGAAAGAGGCAAACAGCAACCAGTAACAGGAAAAGCCAGTGCCTGAACAGAATCACAAAGAAAAGGGAGATTTATCTTAATACTGGTATGTACTTCATATGAACCTAAATCAACAAAAATAAGTTTTCATGATTGACCATGAGGTTTTGTACCTGCTACTGTGATGGCCATGGTCAAACGGTACAGAAGGACGTCAGTAGTGCCTCCTTTAATGTGGATAGGCAGACCGTTATCCTCCTGTAAATGTGGATAAAACATTTGACAAAAAATATTTGTATTAATTGAAAAGCCCTTTTAGTTATACAGAAGTAATCTTTGCAGACAGAAAAGTGTTTCTTCTAATCAGATATACTATTAAATATTTTTATAATTATTCATAATGTATTTATTTTACATTAACTTACTACATATTTCTTTTAGTCACTATTTGTGTAGTTATTACATAATGTTTACTAAAGATTAATAAATGTCTTTGCACTATCCTAAGATGCACAAGCTGTTGTATAACTAGGTGAAGATGAAGAGCAGGAGATTCATGTTATTGATGCTGACTTTAGATGAAGAGACAGTATGCTGAAAAACACTTGGTGTATACAGAATAACCTTCAAAATTATACAGGACAGAGCTGCCAACAGTTTGCAGTGGACCTGTTTTTTTCTTGCAGTTTTTATTGGATTCATTTCCATCTCTGTGCAAATGCACACTCCATCTGAACTGGTTAATAGTTTATGCATAGGAGTGTATTTTTGACTAAATTTGCCTTACCAGGAAAACCTTCTGGCTATCCGGCACCTTGTTTTTCATTTGCCGGACTGTTGTGCTAAACGCCCGGGAGGCTAGACGTGGAAGACTCTGAAAGAGTGAAGGAGAAATATACTCAAAGGACCAACATTTGTATCTCAGCACACTCTCATTACACTTTAAGGATGTGAGAAACCGAAGCATATTTCATGATCTTCAGTCAATCTGAGATGGACAGTTTTATGCTTAACATCTTAAAATCCTAGATAATGTACAGTGAAAGAATTTGGTTTAGAAACAAATTTCACTCAAAAATTGCTGAAAAAAAGTAACACATTGAAATAATAAACATGAAATTTTGAAGTAGAAAAACTGAAAAATTATTTTCTTGTAAAATTCATTCCTATAATCTAGTTACACCTTCTCATTTTTTTTTTTACAGTGTATATGGTCCCACTTGATATTAAGTGTCTTTAAAGCTGCAGTCCGCAGTTTTTCCTCTTTGTCGCCATCTCTGTTCAAAATCTGCAATTGCAGTTATTCGCTGAATTATCAACTTTACGTTAGTTGTACTTCGACATGGCACAGCGCGGGTGAACACAATGTTTGAGGAGAGTGTGCTGTACTACGGTGGCCGAGACAGCTCAACGCGCTGCAACTGAAGCAAACACATGCAAATAGAGAAAAACGCGAGCAAATAGAAAAAAACGCATGCAAATAGAAAAAAAACATATGCACATAGAAAAAAACACCTGCAAATAAAAAAAAAACATCTTCATCAGTTTCACAACACACGTGTGCTCCAAATAAGGAAACGCGCTGCAAAAGTTCACAACACAACCAAATACAGAAAACGCGCTGCAAATAACACAGACCACAACGGAAATGTTTCCAGGGGAACCAAATAAGTGACGAACCCGGCTGAGACGTGCTTATTGCTCGTGAGCTTCCCTATGCCATTCTCCCTTCGAAGGGTAGATTGCAGAGCCCTTTTGGAGTGAGCAAGGCTCTAGTGTGCTGTTAGGCAGCCGTGTGGAGCGCACTTGATGAAGGGAGCAACTAAAGACAACGTGGGATGTTCCCATGACAACGCAGCACGGTGTCCATCAGCTGGTCTTACAATGCTGTTAACATAACGGATGCAAATACATTTTTATTTTACAAAAAAAGCTTTTAAAATGTGCGTTATATATCTGTGTCTCAACTTAAAAATTTTGGACCCTACATTACCTAACATTTCTTACGAAACCTTTCTTTCTGAAAATGTAATAACATGAAACAATTTGTACAGTGTAACTGATGTATAGATAAATATCTTTCCTTCATGTTTTTCTTTTCTCATTTGTATTCTGATGACATTGAACATATTGTTAATACATTTTGTACATTGTATACAAGTTGTATGTCATAAAAAATTTAATCTCTGTATGTTTTGCACAAACAAATAAATAAATAAATAAACAAATAAATAAAGTATAATTTTAAGCTGTAAGCACCAGCACGCATAGATTTATGGATATCTATGCCAGAACGTCCCAGCCGGGTTCGTCACTTATTTGGTTCCCCTGGAAACATTTCCGTTGTGTTCTGTGTTATTTGCAGCGCGTTTATGTATTTGGTGGTGTTGTGAGTATTTGGAGCACACGTGTGTTGTGAAACTGATGAAGATGTTTTCTTAATTTGCAGGTGTTTTTTTTATTTGCACGCGTTTTTTTCTATTTGCATGCGTTTTATTTAATTTGCATGTGTTTTTTTTTCTATTTGCACGCGTTGTTTTCTATTTGCATGTGTTTTCTTCTATTTGCATGCGTTTTCTTCAGTTGCAGCGCGTTGAGCTCTCTCGGCCACCGTACTGTGCAGCTGTCAATCACCGAGCCGGTGTTGTGCCCCCGCCAAATTATTGTGTGGATAGAGACGTCATTCAGAATCACAGATTATTCTTTTTGGAAGTATGACCAACATAATAATGTTCACCATAAAATGTCATCTGAACAAGTACGTAACATCCACTTTTGTTCTGGTTCTGACATTGCAGTAATTCGCGCTGATTAAATCTAACAATCGCTTATCATATCATGTAAAACCGTGCAAATTATACTTTGTTCTCAAATTGTTAATGTTAACAACGTCAGCATTGCGTGACTACATGTAATGTCCTTCCGATATGTATCCTTGTTTTCACATGGGTCCGGTTGCAGTCTCTTTTTTTTCTGTAGCCACTCCGAAGTAAGTCTTTTGCATTTTACAGCGGGTGAATCTGTTGTCACTGTGGTGATCGTCGTTTGGGATCGACCTTTCGGATCCGCCATCAAATTGATACGTTTAATTATATCAAGTGCTGTGAGAAAAGGCTATAAATCTCCACCTCCAACATCCTCACACGCATTATAGCTTATACTAGCCGAGACTCCTTCTTTATGTGTACAGATGTGACGTAATGACCTAAAGACATGCTCGAATCTCCCTCGGAAATCCACCAGTACCACTGGAATTAAAAACATTATTACAAGCTTACCGCTTTGAATCGAGCTAAGGCAAGCAGATAGTTTTGAACTCTGGCTGGTTATGCATTTTCTCAAATTATTTTGCATAATTTTTAACCCAAAAAAGCTACAGACTGCAGCTTTATGTACTAACATTTAAATTAATAATTACCACCAAACCTGTCCCACCACACCTGTATCTCCTCAATAGCAGTGTTTTGCCATACAACATGAACACAATAAGTATACATTGTACCTATAACGGTTTTTAATGCAAATACATAGTAGACATTACTTAATAATAGTGAGACCAAAATAATAATAGTAATGTAACCTTTAATTTTCCATTCACGTAATGCAGTTTTTTTTTCTTTCCCCGCCATTGACTGAATTTTCCAGCAATCCATGTTTTCATTGTTATAGGAGGCGTTATTACGCATTTTCTGAAAGAGTACAATCTCCGTTATCGCGGAATTATTAAAAATAAGCGAATAAGAAGCAGAAACAAGTGATTGATTGAAGCATTGCTAACGCACATGTAAACTAGCGTGATCATCAATCATTAATCAGCATATAAATCAAATTGAATATTTTGCTTATCTCTGCACTCATATTTTGCTTCAAATTTGTGAAAAGCATATGCTTGTCTCAGAGAACTAAACCACTTGATATGTTTATGACATATTTCATTTGTTAAAGGGATAGTTCTCCCAAAAAATGAAAATTCTGTCATCATTTACTCAGTTAATCCAAACCTGAATTTCTGTCTTCTGCTGAACACAAAAGAAGATATTTTGAAGAATGTCGGTAACCAGACAGTTGATGGGCCCCATTGACTTTTTTTTAATTTTTTTATAATACTATGACTAATATGAAAGTGGCTACCGTCAACTGTTTGGTTACCCATATTCTTCAAAATCTTCTTTTGTGTTCAGCAGAAGACAGAAACTCGTACAGGGTTGGATCAACTTGACAGTGAATAAATGATGACAGAATTAACATTTTTGAGTGAACTATCCTTTTAAGAACGAAACATGTGAAAGGAAAGTAACATTTTATGGTTCTGAAGGTCAGCTCAGCTCACGTGGAGCAGTTGTGTGTTGTGGTTTTAGCCAATTGCTGCTCACCAGCACCTGGAACAAACCAATCAACGCGTAATACACACTGAGGGAGGGCTGAGAATGTCCCTCCCTTCTGTACTTCTCTGTCCACCAGTGTGTGTGTTTGGCTGCATGTAGGCATGCTAAATGTGGAGAGGCTAATGGTGACACGACCTCCTGACTGTCCATTAAAAAAAACAGTTGTGTCCATTTCAAATGAGGACACGTTTAAAGCAGAAACTGAAGATGATGAGTTTACAAGCAAACCTCTGCCTGCTTTAATGCCATGTAGAGTGTTAACATTTGATTAGCTAAAAAAAAAGATTTTGTTATACTATCAAACAGTTTGAAATAAAAGGACAAACAAATGTTAGTTCATAAAGTGAGCTACAGTATCAGGCAACCGTTAAACGAGTCTTTTCTTTAGAGGTCATTTATGGCTATCAGTCATTCAACAGCCACCAAAAATGCCAGTGTTACAATCTTCACAACAACAAATTACAAAATTTGTTCGTATAAAAAATGAGACTACCACCGAATAATGTTCTCAAACAATGCCTGCCGTACAATGGTCAGAGTATCAATCTGTGGCATAGTTCCTGTTTCACAAGTATTTTCGGAGTAGATTCTTCCTGATCACACATCTACAGCTGTCGGGGTTGTTAACCGTGGAGGAATTAAGAAGAACAGCAGTGTATTTACCAGTAAATGCCTCATGTCCGACGCTGCTCTCTGTTAAGCTTGTTGATTCTTGTCTAGTCGGGGCCTTACAAGGACACACACACATTGCAGAGTTTTTGAACTGGAGCCAAGTACGGTCACTCGGTCAGGTGGGCAAAGACAACCCTGAACAGTCAAGAAACCAGCTGATTCAATACATACAGTACAACACTGAACTGAAATAATATTCATTTTTCATCTTTCATATTTACAAAACACATATTTTGCCACAAACAGAGCCTATCCAAAGGTCACCATCTTAAGAAATCATTTCAAAGCAGCTTTACAGAAAGTACACGAGTCCATAGTACAATTTAGAGTGATCTGTTATCAGAGGCAACTGTCTAAGTTATGCATTTCAGAAATGTACATATTCAAAATCACAGTTAGCTAAAAATGTATTAATTTAAACAATGCCATGCTTAAAATATTTATGGATTTTGGTTGGACTTAACCATTTAGGCTTTTCCACAACTATTTTGCAACTTCACCATATGAATTATTAGAATATAAAATATAATGTAATAAAACAAAACAATTTGCATTTCATTTGTCACAACTATTTTGCAACTTCACTGACCTTAAAATAGAAAATAATGAAATAATAGCCATCAGAAAATAAGCACAACATTTTTTTATATCTTTGTTTCCTATTACATTATCATTATGGTTTGCATCTATCAAAGGAAATTTTAAGTGAAATTTTGCTCTGTAAAATAATAGCATGCATATTTAGTATTATGGCGGAATGTGCACATTTAATAAAAGGATGTTTAATTTAAAGACATAATTTGAGACAGCCAACAATATAAAATTATTGTTTTATCTCAAACACTGTAAAAAAAAAGTTGCTGCCTTAAATTTTCAAGTACAATCAACTTGGATGTTTAATTAATTTCAACTTAAATTACACTGAACTGAGTTTAAAAATGAGTTGAATTTTGTATAACGTTTTATTTATTCACTTTTTTTTGTATTTTGGAAAAATTATTGAATTAAAAAGCAATGTAAAACCATATGTTGTCATAACTTATTGATCATATATTTTTTTTACAGTTTTTTTTTGTTAAAAAAAAAAAAAAGATCAGCCTGTTCACCCTAAAGTGGGTTACAGATAACTTTTTCATATGAGAAACAGACGAGACATATTTACTTTCTCAAATTCTCCCCAGTCTCTTACTCGTAATGCGTCGCAGTATCAGTTCCTTTTCTCAGGCATGCAAACAGAGCATCCTCTAGTTAAGATTGTGGCGTGTATCGCTTCTGCATTATCAGGGAAAGGAAACTGAAGCTGGCACTCTGTCACAGGATTTCAAAACGGCTGGATCAACATGAGCTATGGTAAGCATTTTCTATTATTTACAAGAGCTATATTTAACCTCAGGCTCCAGTTGTTTTGAATTCTATACATAGTTAAACTGTATTGTTTCAGACAAACACATCCTCTGGGCCTGCACCGCTGCTCTGCTCACTGGTTGGGTCCTGGCGTATGATAACGGACATTGCTCTGGGATTGTCACGAGGCAGTAAGACACAATTATTCAAACATTTTCAAATCAATAAATCGCCATATATACGTTTAGGACCTGCAGTCGTTTATCCCTCAGGAAAGCAGAATTTTTAAAGAGTCATGTGGCACAGCAAAGAGAAAAAAAACGTGCACTGCTTTTTCATTTTCAGCGCATGCAACTGGACTTGTATGCAACTCACTCTTCAGTGGCCTGGGAGTTTCTGTATAGTATGTCTTTATATTTTATATATCACAACAGTGCTAGAAAAACTTTACACAACACTCCATTGCAATCCTCCTGAAATAATGTGAAGCTTACTACTCACATTGATATTGAAAACGAACTGCCTGTTGCACATGCTATCACTTCTACTTAACATGGTAATTCATATTTTTCCATCCTCCCACAGGGTCTTAACAACAAAACCATTTGCAAAATACCTGAGACTGTTCGCAACTGGACCATCCATGGTCTATGGTGAGAAATTCAGTGGATGTTCCCACTTTTGCTGATCTAAAATCAAATCAAAAGGAACTCTCTGTATTTTTTATTGTTTCTCTAACATTATTCATTTCTTTATTTAAAAAAGAAATTCTTTATATTTAACTGTGTTTTTCTAATGACTCTTAGGCCTATGCATACAGGTCACTGCTGTGACTGCTGGCCGGTATTTCATTCCCATCTTCAGGTAAACCTGTCTCAATCCTCTGTTTGTTTGTTTGTTTATTATTTTAAAAAGTAAAATATAAAATTTGAACGATCATGTTTATGTTCAGGAAATCGAGCCTGAACTCACTCAGCTCTGGCCATCATTAATCAAAGGAAAACACTTCTTCTTCTTCTGGTAAATATGTCTTATGATCTTTTCGTGTTTTATTATTTGTGCTTTGTTAAATATGGAGTTGTTCTAGACTACTTAAGATACTTTAAAAAGGAGCAAGCAAAGATGCGTAACTGATGTCCATCGCATATGCACATTGATATCTAAAGGTTTTTTTTTTTTTTTATTCTTCTCACTAACATTTAGATATTACAATTATTTCAATCGAATTAAATGCCAACAAAAAAAAATAACTAGCTAGGCTAGCTGATTACCTTAAAGGTCCATAGATATATCCATCAGCAGTGTTGGGGAAAGTTACTTTGAAAAATAATGCGTTACAATATTGCGTTACTCCCTAAAAAGTTACTAATTGCATTAGTTAGTTACTTTTTATGGAAAGTAATGTTACGTTACTTTTTCTAATCTGGGGTGGGCTTGCTTGTTTGTTCTTTAAAGTTTAAACTAAAAACAAAAGTTCTATTTTTAGCAAATGTAAAGGCCCTTTCACACCAAAAGTGAAATGAATAAGCCTCAGGTGGAAGGAAATGCAATTTCCCGCCTGTACAGTAGAGGGCGCAGCTCAAACTAAACTTCCAGCTGTGCTGTTATTCTGGATTGCAGAAGAATAGTGCTGAATTCAATTCGGAACCACATACTAGCATACTACTCTTACTATTTCTACCATAGAAAGATATGGTAAAAGTAGTGAGAGTTGTACACTATGCGGTTCAGAGTTCAGCATAGGATAAAAAAGAAGAAAGTTTAACACTCTTACTCTTCAGCAATAAAAACAAAAAACAAAATGAAATGCAAATGTGATGTTTAACTAAAGTAATTTAGCTTATTAGTATGGTTGAATTGGATCATCAAAGGTCAGGAGCAATTATAGCAGGTTGGCGTAATATTCTGAGTTTGCACTTCACTGTTTTTATTCATTTTGTGGAATACTGAACTGCACTTTTTGTGCAGGTGAGATGATTAAATGCTCACATTTAGTCTAGAACTACAATAACCATCATGTTGCAGGGCACACCGCTGCAAGTCAATTTATGTCAATAAATGGAAAAACAAAGTAACTTGCATTACTTATTTGAAAAAGTAACATATTTTGCTGTAAATTTAAAAGTTATGGGTTACTTTACTAGTTACTTGGAAAAAGTAATCTGATGACATAACGCGCATTACTTGTAATGTACCACCAACACTGGCTGTCAGTTTGCACTGCCATTAACACTTTCTCCGACAAGCAGTTGCGATGACTCGTTTTCCTATTTGTTCATGTGAAGTTCTGCATAAAGCCTGCAATACAGTACTGCTTGAATTGTATTAGTATATTATATTATATTCATCGACACTTTTCCATAGTGAAGGTGCTGTCACATTTACTGTAGCTTGGCAAAATTTCACAGGCGAAATCCAGTTATTGCAATAGGGGTTTTGCATGAGATTTTGCACAGATTTCGTGGTCATGCAAATTCGGCACACTGGCCAACAGAAAACTGCTTGGTTTAAAAATGACTTCTGTTTGTGCTGTGAAATTTTGCTTCCTAAACGCAATAAATGTGAGCGCACTTTTAAAATTACCATGAAATCAATTGACAATTCTTATTTTTTATGGAATATTGCAGTAATCTTTAATCAAAATAACTTCCCCCTCCATCTTGAAGCAACACCTCTTCTTTTCTCTGATGACATGTTTACTGGCGTGAGGGCGGGACAACCTGTCACTCACATGAGATCCACCAATAGCAAACCACAACCATCTAATCAATTCCCCTATGGACAAAATTAAGCCCCGTCCTACACTCTTTTTCTAGTTCGATAAGCCGTTTCATGCCTATGGGCTATCACAATAGGAAAGAAAAGACTCAACTTTTTTTCATGCTGACTTTAAAGTTATATATATTTAAGTTTACAAGGGTATAGGAATTTAAAAAAAATCCTTTATCCTTTATAATGAACAGAGCATTTAAAACGTTGTGTCTGATAGCAGCTCAGCTGTATTGAGAAGTGATAGTGACTGATTTATTTGGCAGGAGGGAGGAATGGATTAAACACGGGACGTGTGCAGGCTGCGAGGAGACCATGGGTGCACCGCTTCTTTATTTCCAAGCCGCAGTCAAGCTTCGGAAACTCTTTGACATCGATAGGTGGGTGTTATCAGCACATAGCATGATATCTTATCATGAGCTCATCTATTTCCCCCTTCTATTTTTTTTTTTGGTAGTGTCTTGGAAAGCTCTGGAATCAAAACCTCATGTGATGTGTCATATAAGGTATGTTTTTGGAATCGCCATGAATCATTATGTATCGCATTTAATACATTTATGAAACAACACTTCATTAATCTTTCCATTATGTGATCTGCAGCATGACGACATCCGTGGCGCCCTGACCCCGCTGTTTGGAAACAACTATGATTTGCAATGTGTGACAGACAGCGAGGTGAGATGGAATGTTAAATTAAATTAATATTAGTCAGTAAACAAATACATCGAGTTGGGTTAAAAGTCGACATTGGAAAAGTCATAAACATTTTGGGAAAACTTTTAAAAGTTGGAAAAGACATAAAAGTTGCGATGGTGTTTTTCATACCTATTTTGATGTATACGCTAGTATAACAGCTTATCGAACAAGAAAAAAATGAAGGGCGGGACTTGATTTTGTTCATTGGGAATTGATTGGATGGTTGTGGTTTGTTATTGCTGTGATCTCATTTGAGTGACAGATTGCATCATTAAACACATCATCAGAGAAGAGGTGTTGCTACAAGAGGGAGGGGAAGTTATTTTGATTAAATATTAGAGACACATTAATTAAAAAAAAAAATATGTGCAGATAAATCATTTATAATAAGTACTGCAATATTCCATAAATAAGAATTGTACATTTTAAATTTTGATAGAATTTAGAATTGTATCAAATATGCAACGAATTACATAATAATGGACATATACTGAGATGAATTGTAAAATATGTATTAATAATCAGCCAAAATCATATGAATGAATAAAAAAAAAAAATTACAATCAGTACTAATCCCAAAAGCATAACAGTCCTTTCCGTATTTTTAGGGTCGTGAAGCATGGATCCAGCTGAAGATCCATCTCTTCAGGAACCAAACCCTTGGATGCCCCAAACAAGAACAAGAGGAAGTGTTCAATACATTAGCGTGGTTTAACAGCCCAGGACATCCCTGTCCAAAGAACACCACCATTTTTTATGTTCCAATTAACTATGAGAATCCTCATGAGCCCTGTAACTAAGAGAAGCTGTAGCTATAGACTTGTTATAGACTGCCCTCTTTCAGTTCTCAGACCTGATTCAGTTAAAGAAAAATGCTACAGTACATAATTCCTAAAGTATTCAAACTTGGGGTCTTTTTCCCAATCTCAATAAATATGCAAATTACAAGGGTTAAAGTGTTTTGAAAGACCTTTAATGTACTCAGAATATACACCAATTGTCAATGACATTAAAGGTTCAGAATGTAATGGAATATGATGTTGAATAAAGTTTGGTGGTGGAAGGACACAGTGGTTGAACTCCTGGTTTAACTGCTGGAGCTCAAATCACTCGTAAGTGAAACCAAAATTTGAATTCCTTTTTATGGTTGATGTTCCAAATATTGGCAGGCAGTAAAATGGTTTAAAATGAACAGCCAAAAGCTATTAAATATTTCATGCGAACACTCAGGATGGATGGATTTAGGAACTCACAGTTCACATTTTATTTGACATGGAATCAATTTGCCAAATGGAATCAATTTGCCAAAAAGTACGTTTCTACACCACAGATGAAACAGAAAACAGACTATCCACTAAAATCTTCGACCAATAAAAAAAAAAGAAAAAAAAAAAGCTCACTGAAACGGACTAATCTGCAGCATCTGCATTCAAAAAGCATTCAATATTTAAATGTGTGGGTTTCTTCACACTTCCAATTTGCCAAGGAAGCGGAGATTGAGAATCTTCAGTTGCTCATCCAGTTCCATTCTAACAATGCCGTCTTCACCATCAATACTGAGCAGGACTCCTGTGGCCTCCCTGTCCTCTCCCAGAATCACTTTCACCTGAAGAGCACACATGTATTCATTTCAGAGAAACTTTTTTTCAAATGGTAAAACAAACGATTATGACACACACACAATCACAAGGTTCTTAAGTTGAGCGAGTCTGTTTCCAGTGAATTTAGCATGCGTGTTTCAGCGGGAGGAGCGACATGCTTAAATCTAAGTGATATTCTGTGTGGCTCTGCTTCATTTGCTAAACTCCTCACTGCCCCCCCTCCCCCTCCCATCTATCTGACAATATAGCTGCATCGATGAGGAAAAAAGATAATGGAGACAAGCAAAAATTGGGCTGGTTGAGTCTCTTCACGTCAGTCTCTGTGGCATGGATTTAATTCATGAGTGATTTCAGATTGCATAAAAGGTGAATATATGCTTCATTGGTTCTTGCAGCTATTACTTTCATGGTTATGGTCTTGCAGTTTAAAAAAAAAAGTATAAATAAAATGTAAAATGCATAAAAGAACAGTGAAAATATATAAAAATGCATGTTGCATAATGTTTAACATTGTTTTTGTTTACATCACATTTACATTTAGTCATTTTAGCAGACGCTTTTATTAGGGCTGGGTATTGACACAAATTTCACAATTCCAATTGATTCAATATTGATTATTTTGGATATCAGGTACAATATATGGCAAATTTTCTCAAGGAAAACAAATCTCTTAACTAATGCTGTAAACTATGGGAGACAGTTGTAGCCTACTAGACTTCATTAGCCTACTATATTATTGAAGGTAAAACTTAACTAATTTGTATACAAACACTTAAATTACACATTTATTTTTATAATAATAAACTTATATGAAATATAAACATTTAAATGGTGGCTGTCATAAAAACTTGCCAGATTTATTCAAACATGCATTAAACATTGAAAAACATTAAAAAAATATAATGAATATGTAATGGTGCATATATTTAGCAAAATGCTCCTCTCTAGAGTTAATTTTTCTAGCTGACTAACGAGTTTATGGTCACTGGATATGGTTTTTCGGAGGTAAATGTGACGTTACATGACGCCCCAACTAACAAGTCAGCGGCTTGACACGGTCGGACCTCCGGCGGCACACCTTCGGCAAGCCGAAGATATGGTTATCTGGTTCAACCCGTATCCAATAGCTGTTGATTATGAATTAATAAGTATTGCATACATATTCCCCAAACCTGGGCTAGGTTCTTTACAGATCCATCTACCGAAAATATATGCAAAATCGCGCATATTTAATGAGATAATGCCTAATTTGCATAATTAAACATAGAATTTTCAAAAACTTGTAATAAATTTTTTATATACTTGTGTAAGTAATAGGGGTGTCACGATTCTCCAAATCCTCGATTCGATAAAATTTTCCATTCTAAGGTCACGGTTCAGTTCCGATTCGATTCTCGGGGGTCAGTGACTGGTTGACTTACCGAAACCGGCCAATCAGGATTCTCTCTGTCTTTACATGTGCTGCATGAGGCACACACGCAAGGTCTCTCGCTCTCTCCCTCTCTGCCGTGCGCACGCTATACGGTTTGAAGCACAGTTTTTTCTGTCTCGCATGCACGCTCTTGCTCGCTCACTCTAGATTCCGGGAGATTTTAACTAATTTGCTGGCATCAGGGAGCCGCTATCAATATGCGGGAGACCGGGAGACTTGGGATGTTTGCAAACTGTGGCTTTTTTGAAGCGCAAACGTTGTCAACATAACTCACTGGAAATCCAAAAAACTGCCACACCTGCGACTTCAATGAAAGAGGAGGGGTTCAAGTTTTGTCGATGGGTCTCCTGCATCTGCAGTTGCCATGCTATATTTTGAATGGCTGTAGCTAAGTTAGAGGAGGTTGACCATAGACTCGCAGCACTTCAACACGCGTGTTTTTTCCTGCTTGGCACGCTGACTGGACGAGGCATGCATGGAAGCATTGACGATTCCATTTTTTAATGCGAAGTTCGAGATTGTGACTTAATTTCGGTCGATTTCGATTTAAAGTAAAGTAAAGTAATCAACTGAGGAAGTTTCATGGTGATATCTATTATTTTACATTTTTTACCCTATTCACCTGTAGTGTCTCGCCTTAAGGGAAAAGGAAAAAGAACCTTTTTTTTTTTTATGAGGTTAAGTGCTCACGGAAGAGATTTTGTTCATTTGTAAGCAGTACAAAGTATATACTGGATCATAATTATCTTGCTATGATATGTAGTAGATTGGGAAATGGTTCCATAAGTTCAGCAGTACCTTGTTGTTTTTGGTTGGTGTAACAGGTTCCAGGTGTTCACTTGAAATACTAACAACCTTGTCTGTGTCTTGCAGGAAAACCGAGCACATCCCCCCCTTTGTGAAAGAAGAAGAAAAAAAACACTTCCATGAATTAAACACTTTTTTCCCACGAACAAAACATGATATTTTAAATCGTGATCTCTCAACAAACAATCATGTTATGAATGATAAAATTTAATGTGGAATATCATATCACAACATGGACACACCTAATCCATTGTCAAAATCAGCTCCAGGCATCCACAACACACATGCTTCTGCTTGTAGAATCTTTCTGACAGTCTCAGCACATACTTTTCAAAAAAAACTTCACTCACAGTCACGCTTCGGATGATGCCGGTCTGATTCATGACGCCTCCGTCCAGGAATGTGTCTTTCACACGCACCATGATATCTGTGGTGACCCAGTCATTGGAGGCCTGGTCGATGTTAGATCCAGGGGTGTGAGGGTTGTAGCCTCCCGGAGATGGAGCTCCAGGAGTCATGGGACTGTACCCTACCGGACTGGGACTCGGACTGGCCTGAGGAGCACAATTTAATACTGATTTATTCAAATAAAGAGTCCTTATTGCTCCAAGCTAGTGATGCACTGAAATTGCGTCAACTGAAAATTTTCGGCTGAAACGACAAAAAATTGTTTCCAGTCTCAGCCGTTTTGGAACGCCCGAAATCATTGACCAAAATAGCAACGTTTAATTCACTTTTCTCCGGTTTTGACTGTGCCAGTGTCTATTTTGTGCACACAAGATGGATAAGCTATAACAGGTAAACAAACTACAGGGCTGGTTTGACAAGATTTAGTCAGTGCTGTTTTCAGTTTAAAAATGAACCCATCCAAGAATCGCAAAAAGCTTTGTGCTTTGCAAACATAACACTCTTTACAACTTTATTACAAAAAAACAACAACAAAAAACAGTATTGTACTTTTTAAATATAAATAAATATATGAATTATACCTTGATCATTCATGTTAGTTCAGTGCATTAAATAAGTGTAAACAGATACAACTTTAACATTTAAAAATGCATTAGTAAATGTTTATGGCTTCGGGAGGGGCGGATGTGCACGTGCATGTCATTAAAAATAAAAATTTGCTCTCATATCATTAGCTTTAAATATGCAACTTTGTTGGCTAACGAATACATAAAAGTGACCAGCTGGATATAAACTATGGCAAATAGATGGTAACAATCGTCACATTAAACATTTGAGTAGGACTTGCATGTATTTTGAGGACGTTTGAGGTACTACTAACGTTAGTGTCCTCTCAGCCTCGACAGCAAACATACTGCCGTTCTAATGCAACATCTAGTCAACAAATGTATTACTTTATAATATGAAAACAGGTACGGTAGTGTACTGTATCTATACACGTTTTGTTGTCTATGTTTTAAATCCACATCTGATGTATCCACTCCGTGCAGGCGCCAGTGATAGTTTTTATTTTGCTTCTAGAGTCCACTCTGATACTGTAAATTTAAATGACAGCAATTTAAATGTTTGTATACAACATTTATACAAATAAATTGAACTGATTATTAAATAAACATTTTTAGTTTTTGGCTAAAATAAAACTTAAATTCGGTTTCAGTGTTACTGTAAAAAAAAAAAAAAAAAAAAAAAAAAAAAAAAAACAGGGCTCCAGACTATCTTTTCCAACTGAGACTAACTTTCTCAGTTGGTCACACCAGCACATGATTTGGTCACAATCCTTCTTTTTTTTTTTTTTTTTTACAACTTAGAATTAAATCAGTGCATGCCATGTCTTACTCTGCATACCCTAATTTTGCACTGATGTAAAAAAACTGACAGTGACATGAGACCTCGTGCCATCAAATGACACCATTAAAAAAAAAAATCCTGTGTACATGACTGATTAATAATAGGGACTTTAAGCAGCAGTTGCTGATACAACAGCGTACTGTTGCGCATGTGCTAATTTCAGCCGTTTCACAACTACATCGTCACTGAAGCTGCAGACGCACGCAAGTATTCCCACTGGAAGCATTTGTACAGCGTCACAGCAGCAGCTCCAAAGCTGATATACAAGTGAGCATTTTTACTATATTTGTTTTTATAAACATGATAGTCTTGAAAGTTTAACACAGAGAGGTGTAACATTCGCATGTAAATGGTTAACAACAAACACAACCAAGATAACTGCTCCGATCATGTCGTTTCCGTCATACTTCAATATGCTTACAAGACAGAAAACTGCGAAAAAAGAAAAGAAAAAAAAAGCACACTCGGGTTTGATTTGGGTAGTGCTAGAGCCTATATAGGCTACCTGTCTGTGTATTACATAACTAAAAGAAAGTTTATATTTTCTGGCTAGTTTACTTCCGTTTTTATAATACACTATACTTTCACCCAAACTGAATTAAAAACAAGTTTAAATGGGTAAATCTTCTATCAATTTTTTTAATTATCAATAATAACTCTTAAATTAGACATGCTTATTTTGAGAATTTTTTTGTGGGACATCATTGTAGCTAGAGCCAGACCGATATATCGGCGGGCC